CACTGATATCACGGCGGTGAATCAAACTGAGGTTGGCGAATTCGCCGTGACAAGGCCCCACTCTGCTTTCAAACCACGCCGCCCGCCCGGGGGAGGTCTTTAACATCCAAGCGTGAGCGAAGCAGAGGGGGCACCGTCTTTTTACGGTCAAATACACCCGGGCTGTATTAACCAGGGCGGACGCCGGGCTCGAACCAAATTGCCACAAAGGGCTGCAGTTAAAAATAAACATTTTTTCATTTTTTACTCTTAGGTTTTTTTCCGTAAAGTCACGTAGGTAAAAATAATAATAAAAGTAAAAATAATATAACTTATTTTCAAGTAAATCTAGCTGTGACGGTCCCACCTGATGACGGAGACTTGTGTTGCCTCCGAAACGTCGTGATTTATAATTGTATTTCTATTATTTCTACTTTTATTTATTTTTTACCTACGTGACTTTACCGAAAAAACCTAAGAGTATGAATCCTTGCAGTCACGAAAGCTTCAAATCTAGAATTATTTTTTTTTTACCAGGTTGAAGGGCTCCACTGAGCTATGTAGCTCTTTATCCACAAGCGACATGGCTATCACAAATGATAGCTCAACTCACTTGCTTATCATCGCGTGTAAATATATAGCGGCCAAATACTCTGAACGCACATTGTTGGTTCTAAATGTGGAGGGAAAACCTTGACCTGGAGAAAAATCCACGCGACCACGGGGAGAGAGACACGCAAACTCCAAATGTACAGCAGCAGCAGGCGTCAGTGTCGGCATCGAACCCACGACCTCCTGTGCACAGGTGAGGTAGTTAACGTCTCACCGCCGTGGATGCTGTTGATCTCGTGTGGGTCAACGTGGCACAGCAGCACAGCCCCCCCCCCTCGTGGACTGGCAGCCTCCTGTACCCGCCTGTGAGGCATAGCGCCCTCTTGCGGGAAGCTCGCGCTGCAGAAGTTACAACAGCGGAAATTACAACCGCTTCCGCGATAAGCCATATAGATGTTCTCACCGTTGCATAAATGCCCACGATTGTGAAGTGATTTTAACAGAGTAAATGTCCGTGTTTGACGTACACCGCTGTGTGTGTGCCTCTCCAAACTCCACAACACGGGCAAGCCACTCGCCACCAGCCATGACACGTGGCGCTCCGCCACTACACACGTGGCCGCGACACTCGCTGCACTCACCCCCCTCACTCGGCACAGCCGCGAAACGCTCCCCCGTGGCCATCGGCCAGGCACCGGAGTGCAGCAGCAGCAGGACTTTGCTGCACTCACACACACACACAGAGTCCTGCTGCTACACACGTGTGTGTGTAGCAGCAGGACTCTGCTGCTACACACACACAGAGTCCTGCTGCTACACACACACGTGTGTATGTAGTAGCAGGACTCTGCTGCACATACACACAGTCCTGCTGCTACACACACACACGTGTGGATGTGCAGCAGAGTCCTGCTACTACACACACACGTGTGTATGTAGTAGCAGGACTCTGCTGCTGCTGCAGTCTCGAGACTTGAGGATTTCCCGGCTCTCGTCCGATTCGAGTCGAGAACGCGCCACTCTCACGACTCACGAGTGCTGCCGGCCGAGTCAACAACGAGGTGGTGGACTTAGTAAGAAGGACGTGTGTCGGTACCCGATGCTGAACTTCTTTCGCACCGTACGTAGCCAACCGTGCTAATCGGAGGTGCGGGGGAAGGACAACAAACTAAACACAAGAAGGCGGTTCTAAAGAAACGAGTCTTTGTTCATCTCCATGATTTAAAAGTGCCCAGCGCCGGTGGCTTCCTATCTGAAGAGCGTTCCAGGCGGCCGCATCAACATTCTCACCATCATGCAGGTACCTCCTCAACATCATCATCATCACCGCCATCGTGTGTGCAGGTAGAACTTCTATCGCACCGCACGGAGCCAACCTCGCCCATGAGAGGTGCGGGAAGGACAACAAGCGGAACACACAACAACAAGCAGCTTCAGCAGCAGCAGCGGGTCTCAAAAGTTTTGTCAATTTAGGAGCTCCAGCGGTTCCCCCCAGGCCGTGAGGCCCTGGGGGCGGTGTGGGCTGCGGGGCACCCACTGAGCAGGGAGGCGACAATCTTCACATCAAGATTGAGGCGACAATCAGTCAAGACGTGACCCCTCTCCTGTCCGCCGCCGACTCTTTACCCCCCACCCCCAAGGATTAACGCTATTAACGTGTTTAAGCAAACAAGACTATCTCATTCTAGACTTGAAGCTTTCGTGACTGCAAGGATTCATATTCTTAGGTTTTTTTCGGTAAAGTCACGTAGGTAAAACATCAAAATTAATAAAAAAATTATTTTTTATTATTTTATTTTTATTAATTTTGATGTTTTACCTACGTGACTTTACCGAAAAAACCTAAGAATAAGACTATCTCACTCATCTTAAGGCCAATGTAGACACATTGTTATCGAGGCTTCCCCAGATGTTTCCTATGTGTACATTGCCAGTAGACCCCCCCCCATAGGCAAGCGAACGCGTTTGAGTCACCCCCCCCCCTCTATGCGAACTCAACTGAGGGCCCCCCACTTGACCATACTTCACCACGCTGGTCGGCGCGGTCTGGCGCAGGAAGCGGCGAGCGTGGAGGGGACCCCACGTCTCCCGCGGGGTTCAGGGCTCCGTGGGGAGGCGCTCATCCAGCAGTGGAGTGGCGCGGGAGGCTTCTATAACCCACCTTTCTTAATGTTTCATTAAAGTTAATTGTTTATAAATAATTCTAGATTTGAAGCTTTCGTGACTGCAAGGATTCATATGCTTAGGTTTTTTCGGTAAAGGCACGTAGGTAGAACATTAAAATTAATAAAAGTAAAATAAAATAAAAATCACGTTTCGGAGGCAACACAAGTCTCCGTCATCAGGTGGGACCGTCACAGCTACATTTACTTGAAAATAATTGCCTCCGAAACGTCGTGATTTTTTTTTATTTTATTAATTTTAATGTTTTACCTACGTGACTTTACCGAAAAAACCTAAGAATATGTTTATAAATACATTCATATTCAGTCGTGTACAATTAAAGCCGATGTCTAAACGATATATGAACTTAATACAAAGGTATGCTAATGTTAAGGAATACACTTTCAACATGAACGATTTCACACTATACGGTATTATTTAATGGGATACATTTTGACAATATGGTACATTTGTGGCTGAGTAGACCTAGACGTCGCTTTGTACAGGCACTGCAAGTTGGTCGTTACACGCTCACAGCATCGCCGCTCACCAAAACGAGACACACGAAGACACAAAAACCAGAGCGGAATATCGAGAAAGTCGCAACGCCTCAGACACACTCACAGACACACACAGAGACACACTCAGACACACAGAGACACACTCAGACACACTCACAGACACACACAAGACACACTCAGACACACAGAGACACACTCAGACACACTCAGAGACACACTCACAGACTCACACACAGAGACACACAGAGACACAGACTCAGACACACAGAGACACACTCAGACACACTCAGAGACACACACACAGAGACACACTCAGACACACTCAGAGACACAGACACACTCACAGACTCAGACACACAGAGACACACAGAGACACAGACTCAGACACACACAGAGACACACTCAGACTCACACACACATACACAAGTAGAGGCACTCACAGATACACACAGAGACGCACAGACTCAAGACACACTCAAGACACAGAGACAGACACGTAGACACACACAGAGACACACTCAAGACACGTAGAGACACACACACAGAGACACACACACAGACACATAGAGACAGACACAAGATCCCCTCTATCGCCTGATCAGACTGCAGGGGCAAGTGCTGCTAGGGAGCGCCTAGAAAGGCCGGCACGGCACACGAGGGGGTGGGTGCCCAGTGCCACACCAAGCCGCCTTTGTCTCCCCAGCGGCGATGTTTACTACACACCGCACCAGGTACTCATTTGAGGCCGAGTCGACCTAGGGGAGGCCCAGGACCGGTTCATACAATCGGCCCCCATAGCGACGGTGAACGCGGGCCGCGCGTGACGTCACGGGGCCGCGCGTGACGTCACGGGGCCGTGCGTGACGTTACGTGACCACGCGTTACCGGAAGTCGCGAAAGGGGGCGGGAACCAATCGGAATCTCGGACTGTGACGTCACTGTGACGCATCAGACCGACATCCGGTTTCGTGGCTCGTGCGCTCAGAGTTGGAGAGACGCGTGGAGACGACGGAGACCGAAGGCAGCAGCTGGAGCCACTCCGAGCGACACTCTGAACAGGTGAGAGCGGCAGAGTTGTGACGAGCTCGACGTGTTACACGCGGCAGCTTGATGTGCTCACGATGTGAGTCACGATCTCGGTTTGTACCGATGGTGTGGCTCTGTGTTGATGCGAGTCCGTGCTGATGATGTGGGTCTGTGGTGATTATTTGGGTCTGTTTAATGATGTGGATTCGTGTTGATGATGTGGGTCTGTGTTGATATGAGTTGGTGATAATAATGCGAGTCTGTGTTCATGTCGGTTTATACTGATGGTGTGGGTCTGTGTTGATGCGAGTCCGTGTTGATGATGTGGGTCTGTGGTGATGATGTTAGTCCGTGTTGATCGTCTCGGTTTGTACTGATGGTGTGGGTCTGTGTTGATGTGTGTTGATTATGTGGGTCTGTTCGATGTGGGTTTGTGTTATGCGAGTTCGTGTTGATGATGTATCTCCGTGTTGACGATGTGCGTACGTGTTGGGGCTGTGGTTAAGTCAGGGGACAGAGACGGGGGAACATAGAAGTGCGGTACAATTAAGGATTTTGCTGCACTGCCGCACCCCTCACTCATCCCACTCACCCCTCATCCCACCTCCAGTGGCAGCTATCTCTCTAGGGAACAAGGTGGCTCAGCAGTCGGCCTGCAAGTGGCCATTAGTCTGCCAGCTGAGGGCGATGTGCAATCCCAATTGATTAAAAAAACTGTTCACGATTTCGAGATGTAAATCACATGGTGAGTAACGATCTCGTCCCACATCCTAGACTGTGCTTGACCCTACTACACTCGTCTCCCGCTTTCCTCACGGAGACCCAGACGGTGCGAGACGCAAGACACTCCGGTATTCCTGCTCTACACGTCACCAACATGGAGGTACGGGCTCGACTCGCGTGGTGAAGTATGGGCGAACATGTGATTCACATGCCTGTGTTCTCCACTCTCTATCCGCGTACCTACTCCTCACCATTTCTACCTTGGTGTGTGTCTGCCTGGCCTGTGTATCTGAGCGTTTAACACGTAGCCTTTTGTGACCAAGGGGCCGTCCATAAATGACGTCACGCACCTGGGGGGGGGGGGGTCAGACATTTGTGACGATGTGTGACGAGGGGGGGGGGTATGAGAAATGTGACGTCACATCAAAATGCGCAACTTTAAATAAATATAAACAACACGTTCTACTTAATTAAACAGACTTTTTAATAAATGTTTTCTCCTACAACATCAGAGTGTAGCGCCACATTAAATACGCACTACAATAGTTCAAAGCGATATGAAGCATGTTTTATTTTAGGGGGGGGCAGAGCTTTGTGACGTCATATTTGAGGGGGGGGGGTCTGACTTTTTGTGACGCCGTGTGATGAGGGGGGGGGGGGGTAAAAAATCGTCCAAAATCGCGTGATGTCATTTATGGATGGCCCCCAATATCCATAACAGGTTTTTTTAGTTAGATCGCATAAATATGTGTCGTTAAATCCGCCACCACCAGACAGCCAATTAGTAAGGTTTGTCACATAAACAGAACATGCCAATTCGTTACTAGTACAGCACACTGGTGTGTTGGAGAGCAAAGCCACAACATTTACAATCCGAGTATGACGTTTCGCCAGTAATTACAACTAGCTTCATCAAGCAACAGCCAGATTTGTGGCTGCATTTGCCCCAACAGTTTGTTACAGTCTATATTGTGGAATTTTGTCTGTGTGTGTAGATGAGCCGATATATAGTGAGAAAAAGAAAATGCGTGAGATGGAGTGCGCTCTCAGACTCAAAAGGAGCAGCCCCCATCAAGTGCAAAACCCCGCAAGGTAATAAAAATAATGGAGGACATCACATCAGCCATGTCGCATGGGGGACATCAAGGCGGCCAAGTTGCATGGGCACTTGATTTTGCTTTCAGCTGATTGGCTTGTGCAATGGAAGTGATGATGTAATACCTAGCAACCATTCTTATAGAAGTGAGTTACCATTTTACTGCAACTCCCATATTTACTTTAGTCTGTTTTCTCCTTCGATGTCTGCCAGACTTACGACAAAATAATTATCTTCTTCCCTTTGGCCCAACGTGCACATTCATATGGCGTCTAAACTTTGGGCGGCAGGCTGGTAACATTTGTGTCTCACAGTAAGAATATCCTGGCTTTGATTCCCGACTCAGGTGCTTTTGCTTGTGGAGTCTGTATGTCCTCCACCTGTTCTGCATGGGTTTCCTCAAGGGTATCCACTTTTCTCGCGTGAAAAAACTGTTAGGAGTCAAACATCCCAAGACTAAACAATTGTCTGACATTATCCAGTTGGGATTACACCATTACCCCCTATTGTAATAATTCGGCAATAACCTCTTTAAAAAGATTATTGAGACTCAGCAAGGCTGTCCTTGGTGAATCTGCTTCTGTTCCTCCCTTAAAACCCATCTCCTCTTCTCCCTTGCCCACACTTCTGCTACTCCCTGCCCTCACCCCCAGCTACGACCAGGCCTAGCTCAACCCCTATCACCACCCCTACTGCTCCTCCCCAACCCTGATACCCAACTAAGACCAGGCCTACGCAAAACCCCTCCTTTACCTTTCCCTCCTGTTCTGTCACCATAACGACACCACCACTTTTAATAACCCCACTCTTTATCTCAACTACCATCATCTTATGTGCAATGTTATAATTGCTGTAATGCACCTTGTAATAAGGCGTGATATAAATCTCACATAGGAAACAAAGGTAGTAATAATGGTTTATACATTTTTATCATTTCTGCAGAAATCATGCAGCTCTACGGCAGCTACCTGACCCTCAGGGAGCAAAGAGAACTCTTGGCCATGCAGGAGATATGGTACCTTGGGCTCCAAAATCAGGCCCGGGGCAAGTACAACCATGGCTACGATGACGACCAACACCGTTATATTCCGGTAAGACTCACGACAAAATACCTGCCTTGCCGGATGCGGCAGGCCACCCTGGTTATTACTTCGGGTGTCATTATCGTCGTCATCACATTCAACATAATCAACCACAGTGTTTACATCACAGGATCATTGAAAGAAGCGTTATCGTGCACACCATCATCATCCACAATGTCATCACACACGGTGTTGTCACGCACGATATAACTGGTATCCAAAAATCTCAATGCTGAAAAAAAACCTGCATACATGCAGTCGGTATTTCATGTTGTCTGCCGGGCCAAGTCGCCCTTGAAAACAGTTTCTTCACTCAATGGGCTTTAAACTTGATTTTGAAGCTTTTGTGACTGCAAGATAGAGGGCGACCGAAATTCGGTTTCGGTTTCGGCGCCGAAAGTTGGCAATTGGCCACTTTAGGCATACTTTCGGTTTCGGCCGAAAGTAAATTTTTAACTTTCTGTCTGGTTTCGGTTTCGGCCAAAACTGATATTGACTTTCGGTCGTCAACTAAAGATCTATTTTTAGAATATAACGCTAGTGATAAGTCTATCAGCCGGTCAGTCGGGGATCCTTGTCTTTAGTCTGTGTGTGTGTGGGTTGGGGCATCGACTGCGTAGCGATTCGCGCGCTGCGCTACGAACCCGGCGGCCCGAGTTCAATTCCCGCTCACGGCCGGTGACGATTATTTGAACCGGTCCTGGGCCTCCCCTAGGTCGACTCAGCCTCAAATGAGTAAGTGGTGTGGTATGTAAACATCGCCACTAGGGAGACAAAGGCGGCCGGCCGTGGTGAATCCAAGTCCCGGGCGAAGCCGGGTAGTAAAGCTAGTACAGTATTTCATAAATCTTGTGTTCGGTAACTTTCGGTTATATACCTTTCTGTTTCGGTTTCGGTCGAAAGTAAATTTTTTACTCTCGGTCTGGTTTCTGTTTCAGCCGAAACCAGAAATTCAGTTTCGGTCGGCCTCTACTGCAGGAATTACTCTTTGGTTCTTTCGGTAAAGTCACGTAGATATAAAATAAAAGAAATAATAGAATAAATTATAAGTTTGAGAAAACAAACCTAGTAAAATTAGAAATGTAATGCAGTGCAACACAGAGAATTGGCTAACACAGCAGTTAACACATTACCTGGTTGATTACGTTCTTACAAAGATTGCTAATGGGCTTTACTCGTGAAATAACACTTTTGATTCAGATAGTAGCATTGCCATGACTTTTTCAGGACGGTTCTGACAATTTCTCGCAGCGTTCAGCGTGGTTGCCGTGTGTAATACCAATTGAGCAATTTGGAGGTAAGTTTTCAGCATTGGGATGTTTGGTCATCACCAGTTACATTGTGAGTGTGTATTAGCTATGGGCGGACACCAGAGACCAGGAGGAAAGTCATGCAGAACAGGAAGCAGCATACAAACTCTACACACTCCTAATTTGCTAAGGAGGGGTAGAACATACCTCTCCACACAAAAAGGGACTAAGCTGGGAATTTAACCCCCAGGCCCTTCTTGCTGTTTTCCACAAGTGTGTGCAACAAGGTTATCTAGCACAGCAGACAAGCCTACCGAGTCTTGTTTTTACCCTTCAAATAGGACTGACAAAGCGAGGCTAATTCTATAGCTGGTGCTCTCTCTCACTCCCATGGATTAAGTCTCTTTATGTTCATATTCTTTGGGTCTTTAGGTAAAGTCTCGTAGATAGAACAATAAAATAAAGAGCCAAAGAATATGAATTCCTGCAGTCACGAAAGCTTTAAGTCAAGATCTCTTCATGTTGTCTTACGAGCACTCAATTAGCAGTGATTGAATGAGACTCGATTGAATCGGCACTTAACCACTGTGTGATTGTTGCGCAGGTAAAACACGAGCACCTCAACTTTCGGTATGAGGTGCTGAAGACGATTGGGGAGGGCGGTCAAGGCATAGTGGTCGAGTGTCTTGACCACATGACAAACACCCTGGTGGCGGTGAAAATACTCAGAACTCCATTGAGGTAAGACTCCACACTACTGCATACTGTGTCTGTGAAACACAGCACCTCTCTCCACAATCGCCTTGTGCTACGAGAGCCATATTCAGTCAGGGCTCTAGCCGGCTCTAGTTGTGACTATGAATATTAATTGGCCAAAACATCTTTACGTAAAAAGGATTTCAGAGCTTGGGAAATTGTTGGCACCGGTTCACTCCCTGGCTGCCTTCCCACTTGTATGTGGATCCTCATGCATCTCAATAGTTCTCTCTCTTTGAGAGTGAGCCAAAAGTGTGCATGGTATTATAAGTCTAAATTATGATTGATGATATTAAATTGTTGACTCTCTTTGCCGCGCCATGAATAACAATTTCCAGTTGAGGGAAATACAAATCGGGATCATACTTCAGGAGAGTGACACCGACGACTCCAACATCATCAAGATGCTGGATTGGTTCCAGTTCAGGAAGCACTACACCATCGTCTTGGAGCTGTTGAGGTGCGTGCCAAGTGTCACTTGCATTGATGTGCTCTGCGACCATTTGTCGTCGTAAAATTGTGGAGCTGCCATGAGTCTTGGTAGGCTCAACTGGACACATGTTGAGCTGGCAGCCATTCGCTTTCTCCGACAGCCCCGCCAAATTTGACATAGCATGCCCCCTCAATCAGCAGGATGGCAGCGCAGTGGTAACACCTGCGTCGCACAGCAACAAGGCCGTAGGGGCTGACTGCCAAACCGATGCGCCTATAGGCGTGCAGTTGTATGTTTCTTCCACTGCTGTACCGAGTGTTCATGATTGTGTGTGTTGAGTGAGTTATACGTGTGGAAGGGAGGGAGGAGTGAGTGTGAAATGTGTATATCTCTCCCTGTTCTGCATGGGTTTCCTGTGGGTTCTCGGCTTTCTTCAACATTTGGTGGCAAAATTTTAACGACCTCGCTCGGCATACAGGGAAGTTGTGGGTTCGATCCAGAGCCTCGATATTTGGCGTGTGCACGTTCTCCCCATGGTCACGTGGATTTTTACCTGGGTTCTCCGGTTTTTCCCTCCACATTTAAAAACAAGTGTTTAGAGTATTTGGCTGCTCTGAATTTCCCCATGATAAGCCACTTTGTTGAGGTATCATTTGCGGACAGATCGCTTCTGAAAAAGCGCTATACAGCTCAGTGGGCCTCACCTGGTAAAATAAAAAGTTTATAGTTTCTAATAAATTCCCAATTTGACTGTGCTTGGTCAAGCATACCAATACTGAAAACTACCGAAAAATTACCCAATTAGAATAACACACAGAAGCAACATCGCCCCCTCTGCTGCGAAAACTTCGTAGGACCCTCTTGAAAAAAGTCTTGAGGATGTCCTGGGTAAACGAGCGTAATAATCCATTGTTATATGAACCAGAACCTCACAGAATGACACTGACTTTGTATTGTTGCCTCTTTCACAGTGGAACTCTGGATGATTGGATTGGTAACAGGAAATCCAAGTCCCTTCGGATGGAGATGGTGAAAATATACACCAAGGCGATCCTCACGTCCCTGCGTCACATCCATTCGAAGACAATCATTCACGGTGACCTCAAGCCTGTGAGTGGACAGAGCTTCACTGTAAACCTTTGTTGTTTTTGGAGACTAACCCTGGAGAAAGCCCCAGCCACATTGAGCAACGGGTTTTAATGCATTCTAGATTTGAAGCTTTCGTGACTGCAAGGATTCAACTTCAAGGACAGTGCACATTATCAGAGTTATGTCTTTTGTTTGTATTCATGACTGCAGGTATTGCGGTCTATGCAAACATGACTCCTTGTAAAAAGGTGTCAGTTTTGTTGCCAGATAGAAGGGTAAAGAACCAATTATCATATTTTTACTGGTAAATGAGGTCCCCATAGTGTAGATGTTTGCCCCGAGCTCTCATACTCTGATGGTGCATTGTCTTTGAGTTGTGCGCCTTTTGGTGTCTTCTGGTCCAACCCATGTGAGACTAGGCTCTAAGGAAAGCTGTCTCGGGTGTGGACCAATCAACTTCAAGGACAGTGCACATTATCAGAGTTATGTCTTTTGTTTGTATTCATGACTGCAGGTATTGCGGTCTATGCAAACATGACTCCTTGTAAAAAGGTGTCAGTTTTGTTGCCAGATAGAAGGGTAAAGAACCAATTATCATATTTTTACTGGTAAATGAGGTCCCCATAGTGTAGATGTTTGCCCCGAGCTCTCATACTCTGATGGTGCATTGTCTTTGAGTTGTGCGCCTTTTGGTGTCTTCTGGTCCAACCCATGTGAGACTAGGCTCTAAGGAAAGCTGTCTCGGGTGTGGACCAATCAACTTCAAGGACAGTGCACATTATCAGAGTTATGTCTTTTGTTTGTATTCATGACTGCAGGTATTGCGGTCTATGCAAACATGACTCCTTGTAAAAAGGTGTCAGTTTTGTTGCCAGATAGAAGGGTAAAGAACCAATTATCAGGATTCATACTCTTAGTTCTTTTGGTAAAGTCACGTAGGTAAAAAATGAAATTAAAATTAATTTATTCTTGTTTATTTTTATTAATTTTAATTTCATTTTTTACCTACGTGACTTTACCGAAAGAACTAAGAGTATTTAATGCATTCGCTTTGTTCACCTGTTTGGGATGGGCGGGGGGCACGGTAACACTGGTAAAGATCATCCAATGTGAAGTAGACTTTGCCAAAAGTTGTGTTGCTATGAGCGGCCTGCCTGAGAGAAACAAAAAAACTCAGATACTAATCAGGACAAAAAAGCACTCCAGTAATATCCTGATTTATGTCTTCCCCTTTTACGTTGTTTTGATAATCGTCGCCCCTTTCAGGAACGCATCCCCGACATAAACTGGGGTATTACTGTTTTCAAATGTACAAACAAATTTTAGAATCAGAATCAAAAGTAAATTTCCCAATTAAAGTGCATTGAGGTAAGCTCGTTTTCAAGGGCGACTCATCAGCTTACAAATTGCTCACAAAATTCTTGCCAAGACAAATGCGTGGTGGAAAGTGTTACCGAATCCATGTGTGTGCATGGTTTTTCCTAACTCGCATGCACTAGCAGCTATACGCTTCATTAGGGTCTCTCTTTCCACGCAATGAGCAACTTACATCGCATCATCTCACTTCCAGTGGCAGCTGTCAGGAAACATATCCTAATATCGCTGCGACTAACCTTTTTGACAGTCACCTCGTCTGACTCCCTTTTTAATATATACTTGCGTATTTTGGTACATGCTCAATGGACTGCTGGCTGAATGCTGTTATCACCTCTGTGAATCCCTTCTTCTGTTCTTCATCTAGGAAAACATCTTGGTCAAGGACCGCGTGGCAGGGACCATAAAGGTCGCCGACTTTGGACACAGCTTCGTTGAGGGTTATCCAAGTGAGTGACCTCACCCGGGTGAGGGAGTGAGATTGCTCGTAGCGGTTAGCGCTCTGTGCTACGGACCCGGCGATTATCTGAACTGCTCCTGGGCCTCCCCTAAGTCAACTCAGTCTCAAATGAATACCTGGTGCGAAGTGTAAAGATCACCACTGGGGAGGCCAAGGCGGTAGGGCGTGGTGCTGGCCACCCACCCCTCGTGTATCGCGCCGGCCTTCATAAGTGCTTGCTAATAGCACTTGTCCCAAAAGCTTGTCACACTTGTGTCTGTGTGTATGCACACACGTGTGTGTATGCTCAGTCTCAAATGAATATCTGGTGTGTATGCACACACGTGTGTACATGTGACTGTGTGGAGGTGATGACTTGCGTGTGATGATGCTGTTAAAGGTGATTTGGGGGTCTTTGTCTTTGTGAATCACAGCCTCCTTGACCTTCAGTACCGTCAAGCACATGTCTCCGGAGGGAATCTTGGGCTACTCGTCCACCAACTCGGTCGACATGTGGGCTCTGGGATGCACGGTGGCGAAGATAGCAACCGGAAAATCCATCTTCGAACCCATCAACTTCTACGACCAGTTGGGGTGCTGCATGGAGGTACTGCCCAACAGCACTTCGCTCGTGATTCACAAAACATTCTTGGCCACGTCACGATCTGGCCACATTTTTGCCACCCGCCTGCTGACGCAGCCATAAGAAGTAAATGGTCATCCGTGCAAGCACTCAAAGCGCCACTTGTAGTTTAAGCTCACCCACCACCAGTAAGTTGAAGAGCAATTCTCTAAATTAAGTCTAGTAATGAGATACATTTCCCTTGAAGCTACATCCAGCACATATGCAGGACCATAACTGTGTGCACACAATGGCCTACTCTTTTCGAATAACGTCATGGGATCTTCAACGTCTACTGCGAATGTAGCAGACGGCACGTACAAATTTACGGTTTGTACACATCGCAAGTAAAAATTGGGCGGCCAAATCTGAACCAGGAAACTCTGCAACGGGAGGCAGATGTGCAACTGCTGGGCCATGCCACAACCACGACCCTGCACCTGTGGGTGAACCGTGGGGAGTAGTGGCGGAGTGGTTAGCGCATCGAGCTACGAACCTGGTGACCCGAGTTGGATTTCTGCTTACTGGCAACATTTTTAACAAATACCTGAACTGGACACAGGCCGAAAGCGTTAAATGAGCACCTGGCACTTGGCGCTATGGGGCCAATCCCCTAGTGTGCTGCGCCGGCCTTAATCGGTGCTCACTAACAGTACTCGCTACAACAGTCGGTTGCGTTTATATGAAGGAACTTTGTTGTTGTGTGAACCGTGTGTAGGTCCTGGGGCTGCCTCCGGACTACTTGGTGAATAACGCTCCTAAAAGAAAGAAATACTTTGGTAAGTTGAAGGGACAAGCTCACTGGAATACGTTTTACGAGCCAACTGTTATTGTTTCAGCTCGACCACCGATAAATTCTTGAATGTCGATTTTCACAACCGACTTTCACCATTAAGCATCAGGAGAGATCCAGGAAATCAGCCTGAAAATCTTGTACACGTGGCAATTGGGTCTTACAGCAAAAAATGTGGCTCAGTAATTAAGTGGTCTGACCCAAAAATCAACAATGAATCGTACATAGTTTCCCTTGTCTTACCAACACCCATCCCAGATGATGCAAAACACTGCATTGTGATTCACATTGGTTATCGGAGTTCTGCATTTCGAATAACTCACATTTGGCGGGTCATTATGT